ACACAGTATGCCCCATCCCACAAAGTTTCATGAGAAAAATGGAAATATTTCAAGCTGCAAAATGCTGACTTCTGAAAGGCTGATCAGGACAGCAGGAACTGAGCATGCTCAGAATCCTGTTTTAAAAATTCAGACATACTCTTTCTAGAAAAAAAGACTGAGAAAAGCATTAGATCCACATATACCTGACACCATATCTGTGATGTTATCTTCAGTAGAAGCAGAGCTCATGGAAATCATATCGAGTAGTTCCATCAGCTGCTTCTGAAGAGAGTAAGTTTCCTTGAACATAGCTTGCAGGAGGTCAGAAATCAAGTGCAGATGTCCACAGTACACTGATTCACTGTCCTGTAGGAAATGAGGAAAAGGAGGATTTAAAAAAAAAAAAAAATCAGGAATCACAGCCTGATTTTTCACATGCTGAAACACTGAAAGCTTTGTCATACATTTCACTGGAAAAAAGAACAAGGCATAGACATACCTACTTTAATTCAATACACAGCCAGATCTCTAGCTTCTGCTATCAACCCTTGTTTGCTAAATATAAAATGCTCTTCACCTGCAGCCTCATCAACAACTAATGAAGTCTGCCTGGCTCTAACAAGTTTAGCGGGCTTTGGCTCAGGCCTCAATGTATGAACCTGAAATCGTATTTCTGAACAAAACAGTACAAGGTTAGCAACAAAGCAAGTACCATTCCAAATATTTCCCAACACTTTCAAATTAGAATTGTTAGCTAAAGGTATAGCACTTGAGTTCAAGTCCTGACATGGAAAACTGATGTAGGTGTTCCCATAAGAAAGACAAACCGAGAAAGTGAAAATGAAAGCTGACCAAAAGCTAATGTGTTCTTATGATAACCCTGTTATACTTTCACTACTCTAGAGGAAATTACTGTTGCATCTGGAAAAGCAGATCTGAAACTGGTATACCTTACCCATCATAACTAACAAAGATCCTAATTGCAACTTTCAATCCACTTTGAAACACGCACAGAAATAAGGTAAGTAGCACCACTGTGGTAACCATCTGTAGCTCTGAAAATACCACAGCTATCAGGAGTGCACAGATACCAGAGGGAGCCTACATTCATTAGCAAAATGCTCAGCTGACATTGGTGAAAAATACGGAAATAGCACAGTTTGTGCCTCTCACTACCAGGTCACATTTGCTGGGCAGACAGCAGAAAAATCATATTTGTGCTTGTATACAAAGTACATTCTGTAAACTCTTTAACAACTAAATTTAAATTTAAAATATGTAATTCGACAACAATATGATTTCAAAATAGGATCTTCTTACAAAGTAAGTGTTTCCTAAAAGCCAATTTTTCTCCGTCTAACACAGCCCTACCTTGCAGTGTGTAAATGTGTTCTTTATTACATAAAGAACCGAAGATGGGAGGGTGCGGATACTCTCCAGAGGCACACACTCTTGCAGCGTGCAGATGCATCGTACACAACCGGTCAGAGTTTCCAACAGCTGCACCATAGTCTTAAAGCAAGAATAAACAACAACAATCAATGTTTTTCACTCCTGCAATAACTTCAAAAATATCTTTTCTTAGCTGAATTGCACCTAGAATTTTATGGCATGTAAAGTTCACTGCTATTTGCATAAATAAATAGCTTGTTAAAGATGAATAAAGCTCCATAAAATAGTATCAAGCAATTCCAGAGCTTTTCTCTGATCGCATACACTCTCTGAAAGCTTCGCATTTCTTTTGCCCACTGTTTTCAATTTACAAAGAATTTTAAAATTCAGAATTAAGTGACTGTATAAATAGGTGCCAGATTCACTCTTTCAATATGGAAAATCACATTCCATTTGCACTAGGAACTTCATCAGAATTTGAGATTTTTTTTTTAAATTAACATCACATGCTAGATGTAATCAAATCATTCACAAAACGTTAACTGAACTTCAACTGCAAAGGAAGATCAAATTATATTTTAACCACCTGGTTAGTAGCTGGCAAAGATAGTCTACAAACCTCTTAACTGTTTAGGTAAAATCAAAGAATAATGTAAACCTTCCTTTGACAGTTTGTTTCACGGGACTTGCCTGTAGAAGATTCCTTACAGTACTGCATAACTCTGTATTCTGGCTGGTTAATCCTTTGGCCTCACTGGACAATTCATACATCAAGTTATCAAATAACTGTAGAGTCTGTCAAAACAAAACAAAACTCAAACATTTTATTTATAAAAGTACACACACTAATACTAACAACATTCCGTATCTGCTTGCTTCCCTGGCATGGAGTCGTGGGCTACTGAGATAACTCACAGAAAATCATGCTTTCTAGCATTTCAATCATAAAGAGTGATATGATTCTGTCTTACGGTTTTCACAAATTGTAGATAGAATCTACCGCAGCTGTTACTTTTTCCACAATCTCTTAATAAAACAAACTTCCCAGCTAATTCACTTGAAATACACACCTCATTCTACCAAAGATTTTTTTACTTAGTTAAAAATCACACCCTTTTAAAAGAATTTTCATTTTGTCTCAGAAAAAAAAATTTTTTTTTTTTTGAGAATGATCATTAATACTTGAATACATAAAAACATAAGCCTGTGACCTGCAAACAATAATTTCTAATTTGGTTGAGGTCCTTGGACACCTGACGAGTAGTACTGCTGAGATTGCAAAGACAGTGAGGTGCTTTCAAGCATGTGCAAGATACTACATAAACTGGTATGGAACAGTAATCCTTGTTCAGGATATGCCTGTGATAAGCCATTTTTCTTGTAATCTCCCAAATTTGCTACAGGACATAAAATAAGGGAAATGGAAATCAAATGGCCATTTTTACTGACTTAGAACATACAAACTGAGGCCTGAAACTCGAATCAGTAATTTGGCACTGCTTGATTTCAGTTTAAATGTAGGCACTGAAGAATTTTAATACAACTGAAGCACAAAATTCTCCATCATTTAATCCAGAAATATAACATATGTTAGGCCAGTATGGTCTAAAAGTTTATTTGATATATTATTCAAAAATATCACAATGTTTATTCATGATATATGAGTATTGGGTTCTTCAGTTTATTTGTCCTGAGAGGCTACCTCGCATAAAAATTCTCCACCTTATTCATTTTATAAAAATCCCAATCTTTTCAAAAAGAAATAAAACCCAATTCTGTTACTGAATATAGAAAGTAGAACATTGTATGTTTGATCCTCTCCCCACTGTAAAGCATGGTGACAATCACAGAAACAATCCAACACAAAAATGTCAAACTTTTAAACGGTAAAATTTTAATGTCAGGTTTTGTATCTAAAGCAATAATTATGAGACCTCAAAAAAAATTCACAGCATTTTAAGCAGGTTTTTACCACCGGACTGACTGAAAATTCAACATTTAATTGTCACTATAATACCTTAGGTAATACTTTGGAGAAAAATGTTTGTTCCAAATCTGCGAGGCTGATATGGGGCAAAAACATTTCAGTCAAGACCCTCAAAACACCTGCAAAGTAAAAAAAAAAAAAAAAAAAAAAGTAAAGCATGTATAAAACCTGACAGAAACACAACATGCATCATCAGAAATGTGTAGCAACCTACCAGATTAAACAAAGAACTGCATCAAGCAGAAACAGATCAGATATTTGATTTTGAGAGGGGCAACATAACATTTGCCACATACGCGTTATCTGAAAAATCAAGTAACAGTAACAGCTCCATCATGCACAAACCTGTCAGTAATAGCAAGACACCTAACTAGAGTTAGTTGGAGGCTGAGCACAGTTGTTTGGCCATGAAACTAGAATTCTCCGTATTCCAAACTGAAAGCAGTTGCACATTTCATGCGCTGGTTGGCACTAACATGAAATTAACAGTGAATGTTAGCAAGACTCCTAAACAATTACGTATCAGCCACAATTTTTTATCACTATCAGGTATCACAAGAGTTTTGCCACCCGTGTTGAGAGCTAAAAAGACAATAAAATACAAGATAAAAAGCACCCTGCTTTCAAGTGCCTAAAAATCAGAAATAGTGGGAAAAAGCAGTCTTACATGCATAGCTTCTTTATGGGCTTTTATAAAGTTTATTCAACATGCAATTCATGTAACATGCAAGGTCCAGCAGGATTGCTGAAGACCATGAAAGTCACTAGTTACAGCATTAGTATTTTTAAGCAGTGTAGAATTTATAATGCAATTGCAGTATGATCCACAGGAACAAGAGGCACTTCTTGGTTGCTACTTACGTATATGCTCAGTCCAGTCTTCAGACTCTTGATATATAGAGTAAAAACGTTAAAGAAACTCAAACTCATTCTGCCATAAAGGTTATCTTTAAAGCACCTGCAGAAGTCACAGAGACTTCTCTCATGCTGCCCCCTGTATGCTTCATCCTTTGTATGAAAATGCCGGGGATGCTCCATAAGCAACGTGGACAGATTTACCCCAGCACCCGCATGACCTGCACAAGTCTTTCTGCAGTCTATGGGGAGGGTTTTTTCTTGGTTTTTTTTTTTTTTTTTTCGGGGTGTGGGGTAGTTAGCTCAAGTGGTATATGAACCATACACTATTTTCTACCGTGAATCGTTTATTTCAGTGAAAGACTGTACTAATTTCCAGTGAAGTACCTAAGCCCAGCTTCTCTGTCCTGTGTCAGCCACTCACAAAGGTTGCACCGCTTTCCCTCCCACGGCTTTACTTGCTTGAACTGTGCAAGGCTGAGGAAGCACACCCCGACACACACACCCCCGCCATTTCGGGGTGGTTCCCCACAGCCACCCAACAGCCGAACCGCCTCCCTGGGAAGGATATAAGGAGCCGAGGCAGGACGGCGGGCAGCTCCCGGCGGCAGAGATCCCAATCCCAGCCTCCCAGCTCCTGCAGGAGCAGCTCAGGGTCGGCCTGGGACATGTCGCCAGCGCCGCTCGCCTCAGGGCCGAGCGGCGGCGGGAAAAAGTTACCTCCGCTGTCCCAGCAGCCCCCGCGGCCCGCTCTCCCCGCCGGCGCGCATGCGCGGAAGGAAGCGGAAGGGGCCGCCGCGCCACGTGGGAGAAGCGGAGGGTGAGCGGGGTCGGCAGCCGGGGCGTACGGGCACAACCGGGGGGTGCGGGGCCCCCCGATCCCGCCTGAGCGCGGCAGCCGGCGGCACGGAGCGGCAGCCGGGGCTTCGCAGCCTCTGCGCGTCTTGAAACGCGAAGGCCGGAGCACGAGTTTTACCGGAATAAGCGGCTACCGCAGTCCCGCTGCATAGAGCTGCGCTACGTGAGAGATGCGGTCACTTGTAACTCTTTGTTTTCATATTTTTTTTTTAAACGAAAATTAGGGTGCTATACTTAGACTGTTTGCTTGTTTACTGATACGTAAAACTACTCTATTTCCAGAAGCAATTCACCTGATTCACTGGCAAAACACCCGATATTCTACCTGCAAAGCACTCTCTCCCACAGCGATAACTACATAAAAACATTCTCTACAAAAAGAAAGCAGAAAAAAAGATTTTTTTTTTTCTATCAGTATTGCTCTTAGATGATTATTTCTGCTGTAATAAATTAAGCTGGCTTTTTAAACCGTTATTCCTGAAAATGTCTTTTCGATTTAATTTTTTTATTGATGAAAATGAGAACAATGAACCAGAAACTCCTGATAAGACAGACTTGCAGCTGGGCTCCCCAAAACACAAGCAGGAGTCCACAGGAAAGAGCGAGCAAACTGCTGATGCTGTATCAGACTCCAGCCCAAGGCCGGGTGCTGCTAAGCACCAAGATGAGACACCATCAGAGAGAAAGTCCTGCTTTAAAGCTGCCAAGGAGCATGACGTACCTGATGATCTCAACAAAGTCCTGGAAAATAAAGTCATAGAAACAGAATCAGACCTGTACTACATAAAAATGTCTGTAGTGGAAATGATGTGTTTGGGTGGTGGCGATGAGGAAGGCATCATCTCCAAAAGTGTTTCTTCTCACTCCGATCTCATCCCAGGAGTCTACGAGGGAGGACTGAAAATCTGGGAATGCACCTTTGATCTCATCGACTACCTTTCTGAAGCTGAAATACAGTTTACCAACAAGACTGTGTTGGATCTTGGCTGTGGGGCTGGACTGGTGGGAATAGTTGCTTTAAGGGGTAAAGCTGGAAAAGTCCATTTTCAGGACTACAACAGCACGGTGATTGACAAAATAACCTTGCCTAATGTGGTGGCTAACTCTATATACAAAGGCAGTAGAGATGACAGAAAAGTTAGCCAGCCTCCTTTGAAGAGGCCCAAGAAAGCAGAGTGCCTACCCGATGTGCTTGCCAAATGCAGATTTTTTTCTGGAGAGTGGTCTGAGGTCAGCCAGCTCCTGTTAAGCAGCAACAAACCCTTTTCAAAATACGATATTATTCTCACTTCTGAGACCATCTATAATCCTGACTACTACAGTGCTTTGCATGACACACTGGCTCAGCTCTTGGATAAAAATGGCCGTGTGTATTTGGCAAGCAAAGCACATTATTTTGGGGTTGGCGGTGGTATCTACCTCTTTGAGAAGTTCACTGAAGAGAGAAAGGTGTTTAGGACCAGCATAGTTAAAAAAATTGATAAAGGACTGCAGCGATGTATTATGGAAATGGCCTTTAAAGATTCCAGTTAAAACTCAACCACTGGTCCATCAAAAATATCTTAAAGATTAAATGTTACAGTCATCTTATCTCTGCTTTTTTTTTCCTAGTTATTGTGGTTTGATAAATGAAGGATGCTTGTTACTGAAATGTTTGACAAATTGTGATGTCTGACTAGAAGCGAAGGACTCTTCTGATTCTGGTTTTGCATAGAAAATTTGAGTTTTGCTTAACCCCCCATCTGTTTATGCCAACTGTCATTTATACTTGTTTAAAAATGAAGCAAGTCACCGTTCCCAGTGTCACATCCCCCCTAGTTTTCAGCAGTGCCAGAACTGTCTGTCCCAGGAGTGGCTGCTGAGCGCAGCCTGAGCCAGACCTTGCAGCACAGGAAGCTGTTCCCCAGGGTCAGGCTCCCACCTCGGAGAGGGTTTAATTGCAGGAACCCATTTCAGAATCGCCTGCACACCTAGGAGCTCTGCTGCTTTGCCACCAGAGGGGGATGTCACTGTATCTATCATTTGCCTTCACTTCTGCTAGCCATCTCTCAAATTGCCATAATGTTTCCATATGTAATACACACACAACTTAGACCTTTGAAAAAGTGCACCAGAGAATATTTACTAGCGTAGTCTAAGTTTTCACATTCAGATTCTGATGTGTCACTCTTAAGAAAATTTCTGCAAGTACTTGGAAATAGCCAGACTGTTTTTAGAAATTAGTAAACTGATTCCAGTTTTAGAAGCTGAAAGAAAATCATACACAAGAGACGTTCCTTAAAACAACCAATAAACCTACAAATGCAATCCAGGGAACTGGAGGATGACAGAACTGAGCTTTAGGTGACAAGTGGAAAAGGAGATAAACTGCAATTACAGCAGACTGCTAACTAGAGTGCCGTGCTGGGTTGGGTTTGGTGGTTGGTTTTGTTTTTTTAATTTTTACAAGATTTTTCCAGAAATTAAACTGCTCCTAAACTATGACCCATTTTCAAAACTTGCTGAGGGTACTGCTAGACACTCACACCTCTTTTCAGCAGTTTGGCAGGGCAGCAAGCATTCAGAAAAGCCTAGGTACAAGTCACTCCCCTCTCCTAGACGATGTTGCTGAAGAAATTACCTTACCAAAAACACAGACTTAAAGAACTACAAAACCTGGTCCTAGTGCTTGGTATCACCAACAGTTCACAGAAAAAGAATCCATTGCATGGTTTGTCTTAACTGGGCAAAAAGCTATTACACAACTCTTAAGCAGTAGCTTTGATGTACCTGTTACCATCACACACTGCTTTACTGCAGCAATAACTCACAGGGTGCCTTTGCAGAAAGGTAAACTTATAGTCAACCACTGCAGTAAACTGGATGCAAGGATACTCAGTGTAGGGGAGAAAGGACAATAGTCTGAGGGAATGGAAAGGAGCTTCCTACAGCAATGACCTAAATCACTTTAGTTACTACATTAAGTTCCCGTCACCGAAGGTTATGAAAATCAACTGCAAGATTCCTATTTTGACCATGCTGCTATTAAGATAGTCATAGAGGATTTCCTGTGCTTTACACAAGAGCCTGTTTCAAAACCAGTTGCAAGTAGACAATTTCAGAGATGTTCTGGAAACTACTGGAGTTGCTCTTTTATAAGAGAGGAAAAGAGCAGCAGGCAGTTGTGCCATGGCTGTGACTGCACTTTGGATTTTTTTTCTGCACCAACGCTGAAATTTACTGACAACAGACAACCGCTGACTACAGATTGAAACACAAAGTTTAAGCTTTGGCAAATCAATAAAGAACTGTTAACATTTCTTTTTGTCAAAACTGGGAAGTTGGAAACAATAACAACCACTTGCCATTTTTCAAACTTCAGTTCCAAGACAAATCACAGCTTATGCACCTTGACTGAATAGCTTGTTCTACACCTGCTAGGTTTAGTGCTGTTTCAGAAAACGGTACCTGAAGGAATTAGAAAAGTTAGCCATATTCATTGTCATAGCGCTCAAGAACAAGAATATCATGTATTTTTTGATGAGTAAATGAAGGCACTTAATCTACCATAATGCTTCCTCTTGGAAATATTCCACAATCAAACTCACTGTCTTGGGTTTAATATACTACCTCACTCAGCATCCTCATTTTATTCTTGGATTTCTCAAAGATAGCTCTGTTTTTGTGCAAATACAGAATAATTTTTTTAGGACTTTCACATGAAGACTGCTAAAGCTACAATCACAGAGTGATCACACACCTGCAAAACAGGAAGCCCCACACAGTATAACTAAGTTCCCATTTCAGAATTACAGATGAGAATTAATAAAGGATGTTTTTTCTCAGGTGAAGTCAGCAAAATTAGCATTGGGATTTCCATAATTCCAGATGAGTTCCATTGTATTTTTAAAATTCTGCAGATACATGCTGAGAGGAAGCAGAATTCAACACTTAGTTTTGTAGGCCAGTTGTTCTGTTGTTTCAACATCAAGTAATACTAGTTTCTCTGATCTACATTAAAGCTACTTGCCAGATCATCACTATCTTAGTGACCAGTTGCCTGCTTCTCCCCATGATCTGGAATAAAAAAAAAAAATAATAATAATAAAAAAAATCTTTCACTCACTTACTATATTCGTACATATTAATTAATATCTAGGGAAATTAATATTTCCCCAAATGACACTGAACTAGAAAATAATAGAATTGGGAAGACCTTAAGAGTATTTTTTTAATGACACATAAACCCTTACATCAGGGCCGATTTCTTGTGTGAAGAAACAAATGTAGAAGTCAGCTGGTAACTCAATTTATCAGCTCATTCCAAATCACCTTTTCCCTCCTTGCCTCATCCCCTTGCTTTTTTAAAGAGTCATCACAATAAGAAATCTGGGCTAAATTATGTCCTTCCCGTAAGTATTGTGGAGAAGAACATTAAAATCAGTCATAAAACATCTCAGGAAACTAAATTAAAAAGCTTGTTTGTTTTAGCAGGCGCTACCCTTAACTGATGACTTCCTCTTGAAGACTATTTGCTGGTTTTGGGAAATGAGGCTATGAAAAAAAAAAAAATAAGTTTTGTATACTGGCACCAATTATAGTTATTTTAAAGCTGATGGGAAAACACTCATGAGGAAAATCAACATGGCAAGTGCCAAACTTGCCAATTATTGACTTGCATGCTATTCTTGGTTACTAGGTACACAGGCATTTAATCACATTCTGAAACCAAAATCTTGTTAAGAAAAATCAAATCTGCAATGTTACGGCATTTGGAGTGGTGCAGCCAGAAGAATTTTGTACAAAAACGTAAAGAGAAGCACAAACAGCAGATACAGAAGCACATAGTGGTGGTGAAGGGAAAAGTCCAGCCTGCATTTGGGGGGAAGCAGGTGCCAACCAAGAGATCCGCAACACCAGGTTCTAGAGATCCTGCTCCCAGGTGATTACTGGGATGGCGATACCCAGAACACTTCTAAGAAGGAATAGACTGAAAGGTTTGAGGACAAGAACAGGAAATTCCTCTGTGCCTAACCAATCCAAACAGACACAGAAGGGTGACATAAGATGAATAATTAGTGTAATAAGGCAGTAACAACAGGATTTTTTGGAGGGACAGAACCTGGACTAAAGCCTCTCAAAGTTCATAGTTTGTACTTTAATAGTCACATGAACATTGAAAAGAAAAATCCACTCTGTACCACCAGATACTGATGGGTAAGTGCAGCAGGAACCACAGCAAAGGGAAGAACCAGCATTTATATAGAAATACCCCTTGAAGGCTGCAAGTCAACAACGTAAGCATAAGAACAAGAGGTGCTCCCCGGAAATCCACAACAGCATTAAAGGAAGACTGACAAGACACAAAAAAAGTGAGAATTGTAGCAAGTAACTTCAAATAACTGAAGGGCAACATCCTGCCACAAGAGGAGGAAGCAGGTCCTGTACTGGAAGGTAATTTATACACTGCCTAGGTATACTGGGTCTTACTTTGAAGTAGTTAACTATAATTATTGCTATAAAAAAAGGAAAAGGCATCATTATACTCATGGGGAATAAAAAAAAAGCACAGGGGAATCAAAAAGAAACAAGTATTGTCAGAATTTGACACTGCCATCAGTTTGCTATAGGGAAGGATCTTACAGGAGCAAAGATGATATTGATCATTACTTGGGTGAAACACAAATATTGAATTTTCAAAACCACAGAATAAACTGAAGATTTAGATCACTGGTGAAGAACCGTAACAGTCAACCCTCCCCTCCAGTTTTTGTAGATGTGGGTAAGAAAGCTGAAAATCCTGACGAGCAATAGAAAATAAAGGAAACCGACAACACTGCAGTCAAAAGACCAGGGAACAGGTTTGGTCCTATGGTGTTGAAGTTAATGGCAAAATCCTGATGTGTCCTACCATGTACCATTGAGACAGGATTAGATGAAAGCAAACTGGAGGCAAGATGATGTGGGAGTGCTTAATTAGATGGCATGTCAAAAGGAAAGGAAAAAGGCTTAGAACTACAGATTCTACACAAACAAATGATCTGAAAAATAAGATATATCTGGGGATTACTAACCATGTTATAAATTACAGCTGAGTCCAGTTACTTCAGATTTATGGTAACATATATAGAATACACATTCAATTTTATTTATCAAAGTACAGCTCACAGTTACCAGTTTTGAACTGCTTGTTGTGTTTATAAGTAGCTGATCTATTTCTTGTCATCTGACCACGTGATTTCATAATCTGTATACACTTTTTTCAGTATCTCTACAGTCACCGAATGATCTGCTTTTCCATAGCCCTGCAAGAAAGAACAAATGCTTATTAGACATGTACAGAAAGTAAGCCCACAGAATCATTCAGTTCTTGCTGACACAAATTATGCAATTATGATTTGATATTTCAAGTAGTTCACATACAAATCAAATACAGGTTCTGAAAGCTATTCTTGCAGTATCACATTTTATTTTTCTATTGTCCTCACCAATTCTCCCTTCAAGCCAAGTTGTAGAAAATAAATGAGATGAGGTCAAGCAATCTCAGGCAATAGAGGATGCATTTTTCATATCATGATTTCTCCACCAGAAAGTTTGTTTTAATATGTTCCCAACCCCTCAGCCACCAAAATTATTGAATGTTCTTTTAAACAACAGATTGCATTGACTCGCTTTAATATATAAGCATACAAACATCTGATTTAGCTCAGCTGAAGGGAGTAAGCCACCACATGTGTGAACATTTGAGTACCATTCTAGCCACTAAAGAAATCAGTCTTCATGTTTTATTTACAGTCTTTCCATAGATGGTAGCGGCATAATTTTAAGCATGTGTGCTTTTCCACCACTGCACCTCCAAACTAAGGCAAGGTCATAGGACCCCTGTGATTTTTAACCCTGCAATGTTATTCTTTCACTGAAATTTAAGACACTTGTGGTAGAAGGTGCCTTTCCATTATTGTCTTCTATGACTGGAGTTACTACCTTGATTTCTTATTTCAGAACTAGAAGTAAGTTTTTCCCTCTCAAAAAGCCTTTACTGCAAAACAATGCAGTCTACTGATAAAATCCTCTGATTTACAGGTTACTTGTCTTCTGGTAATATTTCATGTGAAACTTAACTTGGAAGACTGAAAAAAGAGCTCAGGCTGACATTATCAAAATGCTTACTCTTACTCATCACTGACTGCCCCAAGAGGAACAGTTTAAGTAAGCCAGCATTTAAACTTCACAGGTTAAAAATCACTGATGCATTATAAAATACAAACTTTCAAAAATAGCAGGTAATATAGTTATGTCAGAAATACTGCAGGTTTATGCTGTCAGTTGTAAAGCAACTGACCTACAGATCACTTTTGCCTTGGTAATCGCTTTGAAGACCCCATCCAGCTTTGCAAGTAATAGCACAGCATCTACGTCGGAAGTCGTCAATAACTATTTCTCTGGTTTTCATAAACCACCAAGATAGTTCTGTTTTAGAGTCTGACAACAAATCTCAAAGTAAAGAGAAGCATAAAACCTCTGAAACATTAAACTACTGTACCTCCAGGTCTCTTGCCTGACAGATATCCTCATGGTCATAAAACTCTGCTTTTAGATGGTGCTCATCTGTAAGTGTCAAGGTACTGAACCCAGAGAAACAAGGTATTTTTCCATAGATACTGCATTACAAAAGCACAATTTGACCACTGCCTCTAACACTAAACTGGCAGCTGAATAATACAGGTGTCAAGTCTCATCTAAAAAATACACAAGAAATTAGTAGAATAAGCATTATACACTGCCTTCGCACCCCATACAAATCCTAAAGTTATTTTTTCCTTATGATTCCAGGTGGCAAGAGTCATCTTGGAACAGAAGCAGCACTAACATTTAAAAACCCTTAACATATTCAAGGCCCAACCTTCACTGCTCATCTAAGGTAAGCAGATTTGAAGTAACGATCACTATCTATAAAAAATTAACTTAATAGAACTATTTTCTTCTTGTCTACATCAGAAGCCTAGAATTTTTACTCATTACTTCTACAGAAGCAGTTATGCTTGATCAGAGCAACACCAGAAACAGACTATAGCATGTTCCCTAAGTTCAAGAAATCATTACCACTGAATCTTTCGTAAAGAAACTGAACTTACACAGAACAGTAACAGGTATGCTCAAGTTTCCATATTCTTGGAAGTTACTTTTATTCCCATAAAACGCATTTATGTGAATCTACATCTTCACCTACTAAAAATTCATACCTAAACTGGGTCTGCTCTTCTCACCCAACACGTACACAGAACAACATTCACAATTCAGCTGGTCACTACCAAGCAACATGTTTATTGGCAAATGAAGATCACACAATAACTGAATAAAGACACTGTGGCTACAAACGTGTTATTACTACTCTAGCAATAAGACTACAAGATTCTGAGTCAAGGGCCGCTAACTTCATTTTTAGTTTTGATTATGACTTAATGTTGGTATTACTCAACATGAAGTTACCTATTTATTTTTGCTTTGGTCTCCTGCCCTTAAAACTAGTGTTTTTCTAATCTATCTCACAAGTGAGCCCGGCAAGTTTTCCAGTTAATGTTTACATTGTGATTCAAATTGCCAAAAGCCACCACACTGTAAAACAAAAAACCCCAGAACAGAGACTAAAGGATTTGAAGGAATACAAGAGGTGCACTTACTGTAGAGAGACCAAATACCCTAATTTTCTTGTCCTTGCTATTATGATCAATTTTTCCTCCTCCAAGGCACTTGCACTCATATCCGAGCTTTTCCATCTCAGGATTTACTTTTTCAAATATATGATCTGCACAAGGAGAATGATTAGTCGTTAGAACGTACACTAGACATCAAATCCTCCAGAACTCTTATTTTCAGCTCTTTTCCCCTCATTTTCCTCCCGTTCCCTTCCTCACCCTGCAAGAGAGGGAGCTTTCACAGACACAGAAATGCTGCAGTTAAGGTGCTCTATTTCAGGTTTGTTTTGGTTTGTTTTGTTTTTTTTTTTCCACTTAGTGAACACATCTCGTTCTCCGAAATGGGGTTTATCAGGTTTGGAAATGGCATCTGACGGAGAGACTGACCTGCTTTTCATACTCACGCGAGGCGCCTGTCAAGGAGAGGGCGGCAAACAGGCCCTTCCGCGCTGTGCCCGCTGACGCCACCCGCCACAGCCCAGGCACTCCCCCTCAGACCCGCTCGGGCCCCTGAGGGACGCGGCCGGGGGACGGCACACACACCCCCCGCTAACGGGCGCTGCGCCCCCCCCCCGCCCCGTTACCCACTGTGGAACTCGGCCGCCTTGGTGCCGCGGACGACGTCCCGCCGCTCCTCGCCGCCCGGGCGCTGCAGGCGCACCAGGATGTACTTGAACGTCCCCTCGGGGTCGATCTCCACGTCCCTCACAGCCGCCATGGCGGTGACCGGGCCGCCCTGCGCGGGAAGCCCCGGGGGCGGGGCAGCCGCCGCTCGGCGTGAGGGGCCCGGCCCGGGCTCTCCCCGGGGGGCGCGGAGCGAGGCCCCCGGGGTGCCCCTGTCCGTGTGCCCCTGTCCGAGCCGCCGTGCCGCCGCTCTCCGCGCTGGGCCCTGCGGAGGGCGGCCGCCATCCCCGGGCAACCGGCGGGAACGGGCCCGGGAGGGGCAGAGCGAGAGCGCGGTGCCCTCAGAATCTCTAGGTCGCTCTTTACACATATTAAATAAGAGAGAGAAGTTTACCTCCTGTTCACCTTATTTTACGCATTCCGCTTGAGTTGAGCGGGCTCCACGCAGATTCATCACGAAGTCTAGAATGCATAAGATACACCAATTTATTGAAAAGTGAGTCTATAATACTTACTGAAAGGAAAAGAATTGTCTCCTTGCAGCGTTGGAGTGTGGCCTTGTATCAAGTGCTTACTCCAAAAAAGAGGGAGTGCTTACATTTGAAACACTAGAAGTTTTAAAGTTTTAGAATATCTCCACAAATGGGTTTCACCGTAGCCACATCTTTTAAGTGCTATACTGTCAGTTGCTTTCAACTGAATGATTCTATTAATACACAGAAGTAGTAAATCATTGTTGACATTAAATTCGCCATCTATAAGCTTTACAATATAAAAACAGCGCACTATGTAAACTAAGCTCTACTGCATTAAAGAGTAAAGAAAGAATACGTATCATCTAAATAGAGCATTTAGAGGTACTTAACAAGAAAAATGTATTTTTTATTAGAATTTCTATTGTGATTTATTATTTCACAACTAAAGTTGTTTACTAAACTACTTTATTAGCTGTCCTGAGCCTTAATAAAAAATTCTAATAGTCTGTTATTTCAGATGCTATTGTTAGTTACCTTTTTGAGCACAGAGTAGCACAACCACTGTGAAGGAAAACAGCCAGAGCTCCAGTAAAGTAAGCTAAGTTCTTATTAACTATATCTTAGGAGATAAAGAGGTGAGAAGGGCTTTAAGTAGAAACCAAGTCTACCATCTCAGCTGTTCTGGATTTGCCAAGTCAAGCAGAGAAAGTGATAGAATCTGTGTCTGGGTGAGGTGTCCTTTAGGATCATGAGGCTGAGAGAGTCCTGTGGAGTTGAAGTGGTTGCTTAAGCCACTTCAGTAGTAAAGGCTTCTAGGGTTATTGTAGTGTTGGTTCTTTAAGCTTTTTTTACACAATCTAGAAAGTCTATTTTTGTTCTGATTGGTTTTGTGAGTATAGTTTATTCCTTGATTATTTTGTCAGCTAATCTGGCCTAATATCTGATGCTCTTATTTATGTCATCAGAGCCATAGCATAAAGAAGGTTTCACAGAGCTTGCTTGTTTGAACAAACCTTGCCTCTTTATTTTTCACTGGAATAGGATACTTAATTTCCTTAAACATAAAAGTTTGTCGTTTGGCCACATCTGTGGAAAACTTTATTTCTGCAGTTCAGTTATGATGCATGGAAGGAACTAGCAACAAACAATGGTAGCATTGATGAGCAAGGGCAAAGATGGCAAAGGAAATACTTATGGCTTATCTCAAACAGAAGCTACGTTTTAAAGGAATTTGTCCTCAACAAGGTGATCGAGCATCTGGCTTAACCTGACATGAGTTTGGGCAGATAAGTTTGTGACTTAGTAATAAGAAAAGCAGAACTTTGTCCTGTTCTCCTTAATGCTTTTGTCTTCCCTATTACCCCCTTTGTCCAAAAGTAGTTTCCTATGCCATGCTGAGGTACAGGAGCTTCCTGTTGGCTTTTAGGCCAAAGGTAGAAATCCCCTGCTGTTAGCAGGAATTGTTAGTGAGTCACTTTGTGGGCCTCAGGGGTACAAAGAGGATGGCATGGGGTAACAGGGGTCTCAGACCAGAGACAGCCTGCCTCCAATAAAACTGCATGGAGGGACTTTCCATTTAGTTAGTAAGTTTGGCACTGTTTTCTGAAAAATTGTTTTTTTATTTATTTGTCCAGGTGACATATTGTCTCTTTGCAGTGGTATCCTAAGAAACATTGTTCTGAGGAAAAGTACTGTAAATATCTCAAATTAGGTAACAGCAAACTGGTGGAATGATAACCAAGACCGGATAGTGGATATTTTTCTTGAGTAGTTGTAGCTAGATGGTAAGGCTAAGTGTTGCAAGCACCTTTTCTGCTTCTATGTTACATATGGGGCTTGTTTCTCACAATGTTTTGCAGGTTTTGGCCTGGACCCATATGACTATGAAGTTGCACTATTGTTGTTTATGCCCTTCCTATCTTCAGATTGGTTTAAACCACAATGCTTTGTAAAATTCACCTATCCTTATGTTAGTCTGGGTTATGCCAATGTTGCAGTGAGTGTTGGAGTGGATTGAACTGTTGTCATAACAGAACGTGTGGTTAGGCTGAATTTGGGATACCTCAACCAAGTTACTGGTTAAGCTGGTGCATCTGAACTTGGTCAAACTTCTCTGCATATCCCAGCAATCAGAGAGATTAAAAAGAAGCAGCAAAAACTGTGGTTCATGTGACATGCTGTGATAGCTGGGTGTAACAATTTTAGCTACCCCAGTTCATTTTCATAAAGGTATGAGATGTCCTGATATGTGTCATACTTTCAAGAAGTACTCTCTGAGTGTCTTGAGAGGGATAAAGCAGATAATAGCCTTGTGCTCTCTATTGCATCCCTTATAAGAGGGTCCTGTGACTGTGCTTTTTCTGTTTATTAACTCTTGAAAGTGTTAATAAATGTCAACTCAATTTGAGATCATGATAGACATATCAGTCTTACTACATTCCTACAGGCTTGATGAAAACAGGTGAAGAACAGAGACACTGTGAGTGTCCTTGCTAAGAGAATGGGTTCCTCTGTATTGGATGAAATATTTGGGTGATGGCAACTGCTAGTAGGGGACAAATACATTCTTCTTGTCACACTTAACTACATTTCTACTGGGCTTTGTGGTTGTATTAAGGCTGCAATCTCTGTATCTTTTAAAAGTAACTTTCTAGAAACATTTTTCTTCCCTATTATGTGCCCCTACCTCCCAAGAAAAATTGGTATTTTCAAGATGAGTATATGGTTACTGAGCATTCTTTTTTAATCTTTTTCCTAGAGTTGCATATTTTTTTGGCTACTGAGGTGGACGAATGGTCTTCCAGTAATCTTGGAGGAGGTTTCCACTTGTGAATGCAGTGCCCTTAAAAATTAGCTCTGGAGTGTTTGTTTACTAGATGTAGGCAGTAGCTAGACACAACTAAATACAGCTACTTTATTGTCAGTCTTTACATTCTCTAGCCTCATACCACTCAGTATGTCAAACTACAATTTGTATTATTTCCTTCTGAAAAAATTGGAAACTGTGGCTTTAAGTACATGGCTTGTTACGTGAGTATGTTACATAGTAGTTTTTCAGCAAATATGGATTCTGAATATAGTTTAAGGAATTCAGTTATGTGCCAGTATTGAACCTAACAGCAGAAGAATGTGCTAAAGGTATGCTAAAAAAAAAAAATACTCAAAAAGTAGCTTAAATGTGTTATGAACAAAGCATAAGTGGGTAATATAAATGCAGCTACATTTTCTTCCTATGTATTGGCAGTCCAGATAAAACATGTGTAGAATGTCTGCAAAAAAACAAATATGATACTGTAGTTACATCAAGTGATAGGTTCCTAAGAGTTCCAGAGGCATAGGTGCGAGCAGAGCAAGGCAGGTGTTGTGTCTTACTAAGGATTTCCAGAGAAGTTCTGCCCAGATATCCCTTTCTTATATTTGACCTCTTTTCCTTCTTGCTGTGAGTATACCCGAGATGGCTGTTGTAGGATTCCCATCTGCTTATTGGATTCCTAAAACCTTTGCCATAAAAGCAGAAAGGTTGAGTCTCTTACTAGCCTTCCCTTTAAATATCACTGGAAAAGCAATATATGTATAAAGCAGGGCAAATCACTAGAGGTTCTCCAGATGTGAATGGACAGGGTGCTAGATCGTCTCATCCAGGCTCCCTTTCGCATGAGAGGTTGGACCAGGTGATCTTTTGAGGTCCCTTCCAACATGGGCTATTGTACGAAGTTCAAGTGCTAAAGATTATTAAAAAAACAATGAAAAACAGGTGGTTTGTGTTGGGGTTTTTTGTTGTTGTTTTTTTTTTCTTTGGTTTGGGGTTTTGTTTTGTTTTGTTTTGTTTTTTTTTCCTTTAGGTGTGTGTGCTTATGAATGTGTAAAGGGACTTTCCACTTAAATGTTTTCATGCTTGTAAAGATTAGGTCTTCACAAAAGAGAATCCTTGTGGATAGAAAGTTCATAGCTTCTCTCCCCATTTCTCCAGATCAATTCTGTATAGTCAGTAACTATTTTGCAATCAGACTTGAGTCATGAACCTACTTTTAAAATTCAGGCAAAGCACTACACACAGCATTTGAACTCCTTTCCTGGGCTGAATTCAGGAGTTCAGCTAAACTACATTTTGACTCTCACTGCAACATGCAGATAGGTTGAATATCTGAGATAACTCCTTTCCCCTGCGTTATGTCCTGTGTTTTACAGCCTTCAGCTGAAGTCACCAAGTGGAAAAGTTTAGTACACAGTAACTGATAGTTACAAAGAAAACACACTGGCTTCCCTTTCTGAGTAACCCAGTAACAGAAAGGATCCCTGAAAAAGCCTGGGTTGAAAGCACAAATGGGTTAGCCCTTGTGCATGATGGCTTATGAGGTTTTCTGATCTGTAGTTAAAAGCTAATTTGGCCTTGAGTGGAATTTTTGAGAAACTGTTATTGACTATTGACAACTGTCACTTATCAATTTGGATTGAAATGAAGGACAGGGAAGAGGTGAGGCTGTACTGCAGCTGTATGTGGAGATGTCAAAGCCAGTTGTAATTGAAGAAGTTCAGGTAGCAGAAGTCATCTGGCTGCAGAAACACAGAGTTCAGATCTGACTGGCTTATCTTGTCAAAACGCAGGATCAATTTACTGTGCAGGTCTCAGACCTGCTATTTCTAGCTTGCTCTCAGTGCCCAGACTATACTGGTTAACTTGCATAACATCCTAAAAGGAAGAAACTAGATTGCAGTTCCAGATCAAATGTAACATTTCATTTGAGAATAGGCAAAAAACCCTGTGAGCCAGGAGTATTTTAATGTCAAAACTGCCTCATATTTATTTTGCTATTTAGTCTCTGAGCTGCAAGTGACTAGAAAAGGAATATTAGTATTATGTAAATGTGTTAAATA